CATCTCCCAGGCATGTTAACACCTCCATAAAGCCAGCACACGACTCGCAGGCACCGGGAAAACCGAAACCAGCTGCTCGCCTGGAGCGGGGACGGGGAAAAGCTGCTGCCTCCTCACCTGCTCACAGCTCCACACCCACCCCATCCCACCCTGCCAGGGCTCGGGAACATCCTCTGCTTTTGCCACCTCAAGCTAAAATCAGGAGGGAAGGGGCCAGCTGGATTTTCCAGGCCATGGAACTGAAATAACAGGGAATAATCAGGGATTGGGTTTTTCCTGCCCTCCATTTATCCGTGGCTCTGGGTAAAGAACATTTGTCAAGGCCTGTGGGTAAATCCGTAGGGATCGGAGCGACCTGGGAGAGTGGAAGGTGTTCCCGCCCACGGCAGGGGGTTGGAATGAGATGAGCTTTTCAAGGTTCCTTCCAATCTAAACCAGTCTGGGATTTGATGATCTTCAAAGCCCCATCTGGAAAAACCCCCTTTGCCCACTGGATGAGCACAGGAAGAACGTCTGGCAGAGCAAAACTGTCCAAAAAATCAACTCCTACCACAGGGACCAGAAAGGACCTGAAGCAGTGAAGTAAAAGCAAGTACCAATTATCACCTGAGCTTTTTCCTGAGATCCCGAAGGACCATCATCTCTGCCCTCCTGATGTTGGGACTTTGACAGGGATTCCTCTACACTGACCCTGAGCCTTTAAGGAGCCCACCCAGGGATCCTGAGGAAAGGCTGTTGACTCCCTGGAGAAGACACTTTCCTGGGAGCCCGTGGCATGAAGAGGCACTGGGAATCAAAGGAGTCCAGGCACAGAATCTCCCAGCTGGAGTCTACCACCTCAAGCCCAAAAGCCCTTTCTTCTCCCTTTTCCACGAGCAAACCGCAGCTGGAAAGCGGATCTGGGAAGGGTTTCCCTGGCCATGCCATGGGATCCGGAGTCAAAGGGAGGTGGCAACTGTTGGTTTTCTGTGCCACCAGAAGAGGACAGAGAGAAACACCCCCAATTTTACTCACAAACTTCGCACAGGAGGAAAAGGCCAAGTGCTGGTGCCAGAGAGAGACTTCCCGGTATCCTGCAGGGAGAGGAAAGGCTCCGGCAGGGAGTGTGGAACAGAGGAGTGACAGAGTTACACTTGTGCCAGCAGCTCCGGGATATATTGTATTTACTCAGCAACACCCACACACCTTGCTCAGTCTCATTCCCAGCAAATCCCTCGGGGGAGATGCGAGGGACACACAGAACCACCGCCCCCGAAATCCGGAAGGGCAGGAAAAAATCCCGGGAGCAGGGAATGACGCGCACTCCGTGGGGAAAGGCTCGGGATCGGCACCCGGCTTCGGCAAACCGACCAAACCAAAGCATCCAGGGAAGCAGCTGGCCATCCTTTAGGTGTGCTCGTGGAGCAGGAATTGTTTGATGGGGTCTGGGACAGGCAGGATGTGGATGAGGTCCAGGCGGGATTTGCCGAGGGTTCTCCGGACGGCGATGCGGCACAGGGACAGGAGGCTGCGGGGGCGGCCTGCAGGGAAAAACATGGAATCACTGAGGGGATGGCCTGCAGGGAAAACATGGAATCACTGAGGGGATGGCCTGCAGGGAAAACATGGAATCACTGAGGGGATGGCCTGCAAGGAAAACATGGAATCGCTGAGGGGATGGCCTGCAGGGAAAACATGGAATCACTGAGGGGGCAGCCTGCAAGGAAAACATGGAAT